GTCTAAATGCATGATGCATGAAATATTCGAGGCATTGGTCCAAAAACACTTCTGTTATTATAAATAATCCTTATTGGGACAAAAATGTTATTTCTTAAGAGACAAAAAACCCCTAAGTCTTCTAAACCCTGAATAGTTTCTGACAGGTTGACTCATCTTCTGCTTTAGTCGTTCACCAGTTGAATACCCTATCGAACCGCTCTGCCTTCTCTTGCTAAACCGTGCAAGTGACGAGCTGCTTTTTTAACTACTCCAAAAAAGTCTCGAAATGAATGCATCTTTGGCTCTCACTCTTTGCTGAGCTTGCTCTCAACGAAATCGCCATTGAAAACCTCCATCGTAGGGAGCTATACGAAGCTCACTTTCTTGCTTCTTAAATTCGTCAACAATGGCTTCCAATTTCAGCTTTCATTTTGCCATCTTGCTCTTGTTGTCTTTGAAGGGACTCTCTAGGTCAATAACTTTTTTCTCGTCTGTCCCTACAAATTTTGCCAACCCGTTTTTGACTTTTGGTGTGCTTGATGTAAACCCAGTCTATTCTGAGTATTTTCTGACCATAGGCAGACTTTTGAGCTTTTCATCTCTTGTATTATAGCCCCTTTGTCCATTAATGCAAATTATTTTTGTTTAACGAACACGTTTTTGGATAAACACCTCTTTTGAATGATGCAAATGATGAAAATAAAATGAAAGAGAACAAAAATGAAAAGAGTTAGTGAGGTAAGGATAATAATCAAAACAATAATGAAAATAAAAGTCCTACCCCACATGATATCTACCCCACATGCTTATTATTCCTACCCGGACATGATCTCTATCCTGCATGTTAATTTTGAACAAGTCCTAATAGCATAAATTTCTAGTTCACATGCTTTGGACATAAAATAAAGCAGGAAATAATCTCAAAACAACTTAGGGTTTGAAATAAGGTTTTGGGGTGGGCTCTAACTCCTTGTAGTCTCCCGGTTTAGGTTCTAAAGAAGGTACCCGAGTTCTCCTTACTGGTGCCCCCTTGGGCTTGCCAGACCTTAGTCCTAAGCCAATTACAAGCTTATGTGGACTAAGTTAAACTCGAGAGGATACATTCCCTTATGTCTATGTGGTGAATAAATTCACACGAAGACATAAGGTATATGAATCCCAAAGGTTACTTGCTAGGCCCATACAGAGAATAAATTCTCGCGAAGGTGTGGCTTTCACCCCCACCTAAGAAGGGTTTGGAGCTCGGGTATAGAGCCAGAGATAAACTTTTTTCAAAAATTTAAAATCATTGAAAAACATCAGTACAAACTATTTATTTTAAAAAAATAATCAAAGATAAACAATAAAAATCAAATAAATAAATTAAAATTTAAACTTGTAATTTTCGCTCAAAAAGACAACCAAAAATTAATTTCGGCCTGACTAACTTACCTGTCCCCAGCAGAGTCACCAAGCTGTCGTAGCCGTCTTTCGGGTAGGCCTGGAATTGGGCTTCGACTTAAAAAAATGTTTGTTGGAGTCGCCACCGATCATTTTAAAAAAATATTTATGCTAATCAGACACCATCTTACCTGATCTATGTTTTACCAGAAATGTGTTGGGTTCGGGGGTCGATTACAGTCAAGGAAGGATTGACACCCTTGTACTGCTCTTTCGGTACCAATTAATTTGTCGGTTGTTTTAATTGCGAAAATTAAAATTTAAATCAAAATTTAAAAAATTCAATTCAAATTGCTTACCTTTGATCGGTTGAAATTACTACTGAAAAGTCAAAAAATAATGTTAAATTGAAAAATAAAAATGAATAAAGAAATATCCAGTAAAAGGAGAAAAAAAGGTTTTAAAAAATAATATATAAATAAAACCATATTAACAAAAAGAATAATAATAAACAAATAAGTAAAAACAAGAAAAATTATTAAAAGAAATAATAAAATAATAATGAAAATGAAATAACATAAAAAGGAAAAAAATATAAATGAAAATTCGAATTAAAGGATTAAATAATAAAAACTAGAAAATTAATGTCTAAAAAAATAAAATAAACCCATGATGTAAAAAAAAAAACAACACTTTTCAAACACTAAAATATAATGAACCCATACAATTAGAGCTAGTGTATAAATTATCCAAAATTATAGATTAGAAATCGAAATAATTAAAAATATATATAAATTATAGTGACCAAAATAAATACACGTAAAATAATATGGCCAAATTAGAAACAATAATATTTAGCGAGGACTAGGCATGTAAATAAACCAGAGCACAGTGGCTAAAATAAAACATAAACAAAGTAAAAAGTATTTAACATGATAATAACCCATTTGCCTCATTTTGAGACGAGAGAAGAGAGAGAGAGAGAGTGAGAGAAAATTCTCTCAACTCTCTCATCGGGGGACTCATCGGCCGAATGGCCGGCCACCACCCGGTGGCCTCCTCGCCGTGCCGACCGCCGCTCTGGCCATCGACGATGGTGGTCAAAAAAACCTGTAACCCTTAAAATGATATCCACACTACCCCGATGTTAAAATTAAACCCCAAATCTCACAAAACCCCATAAACGACGTAGATCTAAAGTGAAAGGTTCGATTTTTACCCTTTTTCAGTGAAACCCTTTCGCTTCCCCAACGTGCTTGCTTGGTTTTCTCTGTATGTTGTGTATATAGTTCACTGATGTTGTTGTGTTGTCCCGTTGTGCTTGCTCTGTGTTCCTTCGATGTTGGTTCTATCGTTGTGTTCTTATCTTGGCTCTGTTTTCTATGTTGGATCGTTGTTGATGGTCCCTTGTCCTCTTCGGTTATGCCCCTTTTATAGCCTTCGAGGGGGGTTTATATCCCTTGAATCGGGCGTTGTAGTCTCAATTTTGATGGGATTATGGGTTGTTGGTTGACCGGCTAAACGAGATGGGTCAGTCCTGATTTAGCCGGGATTATTTGCATGGTTAGCTGTTTCGTTGGTGTGCGGTCGGAAATCTCGGCCGATTGTTGGCTTCGAGCTACTCGTGGCTTCCACGCACCACATGTAATGCTGTATGATTTTAAACCCCCTTAATCTGGATCATTGATTTGCGCCCGATCTGGTGGCTGAAAACGTGTGCGGCGCCTGGTTAATGTGTTGAAAACCCTAGACCCTTACTAGGCTCCCCACCGGGTCTGCTTGCTGGTTCAGGCTTGTAAGCTCATGCTTGTAGGCTCAGTTGGGTTTTGACCCGTACCTAGACTTTGGACCTGGACCACAATAAAAAATAAAATTAATAAAATAAATAATAATAATATATATCTTTAAATATATATATATATATATATATATAAAGTTTTCAAAACTATATATTATATAAATTTCAAAATGGTTTTAAAAACCATATATTATATATTTTCAAAATGATTTTTAAAAATCATATATTATATATATTTTCAAAATGTTTCAAAATGTTTTTTAAAAACTATATATTATATAAGTTTTCAAAATGTTTTTTTAAAACTATATATTGTATATGTTTTCAGAATATTTTTAAAAAATCATATATTATATATGTTTTCAAAATATTTTTAAAAAACCATATATTATATATATTTTTAAAATGTTTTCAAAAAACTATATAATATATATACATTTTCAAAAAAACCGTTTTCAAAACTATATATTATATATATTTTCAAAATTTTTCAAAACTATATAATATATACATTTCAAAAATGATTTTAAAAAAAACAAAAACTCTACGATATTAAAAAAATTCCAGACGAAAATGAGTGTCTACAATTACTATAATAATAAAATTTTCTATTAAAGTTTACATAAAATCCTAAATTTTTTAAATTATTTTATTTATTTAGCACTTTATTTCATTAATCATCTAATTTTTCAAACACTATTAAGCTAAACTCAATATAAATCTAATTTTTTGGGTATCCAGAGGTACTGTAGGGCACTAAAGGTGGAAACCTCTCCCAAAAAAGTTTGCTGCATCCACAAGGGCTCGAACTAGAAACTACTTGCTTAAGCGACCAGAGCCCCTTCCACTTAGGTCAATCTTCGTTGGTCAATATAAATATAATTTAAACTATGATAATCTAATCTAATTTATAACTATAAATAAAAATAATTTATATTTAAATCTAAACTAAAGACAAAACATTAAATTTTTTAATTTTAAACTTACCGACAAATTCTCTAGTTCTCCTCTTTCTTCTTCTCCTCCTTTCTTTCTATTTTCCTTTTGCTTCTTGCTTCTCCCGATTGACTGCATGGCTCCCTCAAAATCACTCCCCCTTGTATAATTTTTTTTTCTATGGCACAATAATAATTCCATTTATAATTTTTCTGTCATGCATGGGCTTCACGTGCCATTCCTAAACCCTATTATGTCGGTCTTTACGTCTTTTATGTAAAAACTGGAGACGCATTGTTATCTTTGCGTCTTGTTGAAGACGTTTGGACGAGGATTCGTCTTCTCTGCTGATCACTGTAGTCCTGGAAATAATTCTGGGACAATATTTTGAGATTTTTTTTCTCAACATATTATCTCATCCATTTTTTTCTGTAATATTTTTTGAATAGTAATATTACTTATAAAACAGTTAAGGTTCTACTTTCTAATAAATTTGTTCTGATAGTTAAAGAAATGATCGTTATTATTAGAATTTTTAGATTCAAGCGTATCGTTAATAGGGTATTAGGCCTTCGTTGTTAAACAGAAAGTATTGAGAATTTTATTTAGTACAGATAACATGTAAAACAATTAGGAGAATTTAGATTACGAAGGGATACAAATATCCAAAACTACATTCAAAACAGAAACCAAAAAGCAGTATAAATACCTTCTTTCAAGTTTCAACCAACGGAACAGACAATTTCTCTTTTGGGACAGCTCTAATCTGAAACTATTTCGTTCAAACACTCGCTTCCCGTTTGTATAAATAGTTTTCCATTACGTCTCCCTTCTTTCAACCCCATTTCCTTTCTCTAAACCCTTATTCCGGGAGAATTTAGATACCTCGAAATCAATTTCTCCCATGTCTTCTACATACTTTGCAGAAAGAACAGCTACTGTAGAGGCCGACACGACGTCGTCTGTCCCTCACGCACCACTACTCACCTCGCTCTTGCCTGATGCTGCTCCGGCTGTTCAGCCTCCCACGCTGCCGCTTTTGCGTCAGCATGAAGATTCAGTGCTCGTGGGGGAGACGGCGGAGCATGTGTTGGAGGAAGAGCGGGTGGACTTGGAGCCGGTTGTGGCGCTGGACATGCTGTGGAATGCGGCGTTCGTGGCGGTGTCCGTGGTGACCTTGATCACTACGTTGGGTGAGAAACCTAATACTCCTATTAGAACGTGGATTTGCGGCTATGCCCTTCAGAGCTTGGTGCATGTTGTTTTGGTTTGGTTGGGGTGCAGGAGGAGGAACACCAGCACAACGTCCGCCATTGATGAGGAGAGAGGAGTCGCTGCTGCTGAAGATGTTGGTGATAGAGAAGAAGATGCTGCTGCAGATGATGATGAGATTGAAAGCAGTCTTTTTTATTCATATCAACCTAGGTCAGCTAAAAACATGAATTTTTATGTTTTCCAAGATATAATTTTCTTGAAAGCATTGCGTTTTATTTTCCTTGGTTTAAACTAATATACTCACACCGATTTCCTGATAAATCGACAGTGTAACCAAACGATGCGAATCGGCGAATATGATGGCATCGTTTCTTTGGTGGATGATAGGCCTATACTGGGTTGTTTCTGGTGGTGAAATTTGTCTGCAAAACGCTCCACGTTTATTCTGGTATGTATTTAACCAACCTGTTATTCGACAAAACAATATACTTGTCCCTACAGGTGACATGGTCGACAATTATACTGCAGGTTGGCGGTGGTTTTTCTGGCATTCGATGTGTTCTTTGGAATCGTTTGTGTTGTTTTGACGTGTTTGATCGGGATTGCTCTTTGTTGCTTCTTGCCCTGCATCATTGCAATCCTTTATGCTTCTGCTAAGAAGGTATGAAACACACACTCTTACCAGTTGTAAGGACTGAAAACCTTAACCAAATAGCTAAATCATACTGTTATTTTGTGTGTTTTATATTGAGTAGGAAGGTGCAGCAGAAGCAGATATTGATTTTCTTCTCAAGTATCGGTTTAAGATAAACAATTATGAAAACGTGAGTACGGAGGCTGGGAAAATGGTCCCAATGAGCGGCGGATATTCGGCAAATGAGCACTTACTCTTACCTGATGATGCAGTAAGCTACAACTTCATCATGGATTTTCATTTTTGTTGTTGTTTTGATTCTTCAATTTTCTTGAAACTTTCGTTCTTCAATACTAATGTTTGGCAAATATTCGGGTACATATCGTTGTACCCCGTTAAAGGCCTTCGGAGGACCCATAAGCATTTTCGAATCTTCAACACCTGGGGAATTCTAGAAAACAAAAAGAAGCATCTTCGGAAGAAAGACCTTGAACATCAAGCATTCCTTGAGAAGTTCCGGCTTGTTAATATTAGATTCAAATCTATGGTTAACTGACTATATACATTTAGCTTGCCAGCCTACAAGCAGTCATAATAGCCCTAATCTCGGAACAAGATCGAGAGAAAAGAATGGAACACAAATGGAATTACTTCACCCTTGTTCATCTCTCTTGTACCTCCCTATGCAGACCGTAAATTTTGACACCGACTAACGATCGATCCCCTACTAACTGCTGCTGTATGATGATAAGAGCTGCAGAATGTGCAGCCAATGAAAGATGCATGCTTTACCTCCTTTTTCTTCTGTTTTGTAGGAATGTTGTATATGTCTAAACTCATACGAAGATGGCGAAGAACTCCATTCTCTCCCTTGCAACCACCATTTTCATTCAACATGCATCGTGAAATGGCTTAAGATGAAAGCAACATGCCCGCTCTGCAAACACAGTATATTCAAGGGAAAGGAACACGAATGAAAGAAATGACAAGCACCATTTACCGGATCTAATCGTCCACAGTTCCCGCTTTGTACAATCGAAAACCAAATCACGAAGAACAGCAAAGCTCAAAAAACCTTCATGGCTTCTTTTCGTCAATTCAAATGCCTTTTTGAATTTGATTTGATTATTCTAGTCACTGCCTCAGGCAGCCTTTCATGAAAAGGAAAAACAATGGGAATTTATTCATTTCTCCAAATGTTCTTGGTTTCACCATTAATACAAGTATATTTATTTTTAGAGCGGGAATTATATTTTTAATAATTTTTTACGTAAATTCATGTTAATTTCAATATGATTTTATATATTAACTTTGGGATGAATTTATTTTTTTACCTTATTTCTTTACTTTTATATTTTAAATAATTTATTTTTTATTTAAACATTTTAAGTAATAATCATAATATTACTTTTAAATAAAAACAATAATCCCTTGCTTAAATAAAAACAATAATTTATCGTGTGGGTTTTTTGAGCTTTGCAAATGCTTTAAACATTGTACTATCGTGTGGGTTGGAATGTACATCGAACTTTAAAGCATTAATCTAACCTTGAAAAGGAAATGAAAGTTATTGGGCATATAAATTAGTGTGGACTTATTATTGGTCATAATTTTTTGTAAGATAATTATTGATACCAACGGTAATTCTATTTGTCTAATTTCATTTCAAGTGCCTCAACGAACGAATGGATAAACAGTTCGGATTAAACGTGACTTCAAGTTTAATCTTTGGGAGTTGGGTAGACACAGAATTAGTTTATATGCATACTGCAACATGACCATAGACATATAAACATATTGAACGCAGTACCAGATCTAGAAATTTAAGAAATGGGTCCAAAATTTTAATGTTTTTTCTTAGGATATGCAAAAAAAATTATTTTTCCATTTCTCCTTAACATATTAAACTAAATTCCCAAAATAATAGGTATGCACTTGATTGAACGTATATGGAAAACTCTTCTTAGATCGCTGGGAGAAAAAACTAATGCCAAAAGGCACGGCTGAGACAAAAATTCCGCGCAAAATTAACTCATCATCTGGTGCTCCCCATGGGAACCGAGTTTGAGGAGCTTCCAGGGACGATGTTGAAGCAGCAGAGGCAGTGTTACGTTGATTCTGATAAATGAGAATCTGAAAAGCCAGAATCTCCGACAGACTACGTCGATCCAGGAGGTAGGCGGGATCTTTCTGTATCGAGTACCTGGAACCCCAGGTCTCGTTGGCTCATCTAGATGTTCAGGTTTCCTTGACACTTGACAGCATAATAACGAGCCGGTGCATGTTCGTCGCAACTTGGGGTCATGCAGATAGCTGCTTGTTCGGTTGGGTCGCAACTTGGGTCATACTGATTGCTGCTTGTTCAGTGGGTGAAGGTGGTGCTGTGGCAACCTCCAAGACCTCTTGCCCTTTTCGTAAAGCTTATACGCCTACAAAATCGACTACTGAACAAGTGCCGGTTTGGATACCAATAATGTCCTTATTCATAAAACACTTCACTATTTTTAACGGTTTTTAATTCCCTAATTAAAAGAAAGCAATAACGTCTAAAGTTGAATATTCATGAAAAATTAGCAAAAATATATGTTTCATGTTTGGATGGTATTTTTTTTTCTTTCAAAAATAAAAAAATTAAAATTTTAAAAAATAAAAGATTCTCATCATGCTATTTTAAAAAATAAAATTTAAAACACTATTCGATGCAAATGAGTGAAAAATGACATTTATGAGTTGATCTAAGTCCATGCACTTGATATTTAGATGCGAAATTTTCAACATAATTTTGTGGCATTAACCCTAATTTATCTCTAAAATTATCTCCTAATTTGTATAAAATATAACTCCTATTTTATCTAGGTCTCTAATTCATGTATATAAAAATCTTATGTACCCTCTTGTGTAAGATGCAATTTTCTTTTGAATAAAAGTATTTCAATTCTTTCACTATCGGAAAAATCTGGTTATTTACATGTATAACGTAGTTTACCACAGCAGCCCCTACTGGCTGCAAGGAGAACAAAGAAGCTCATCAACTTTCCACATACATAAAAATGACAAAATCTGAGCAGTTGATGAAACAAACTCAGATTAGACAAGATTAAAATATAATAATACCCGGCAACCAATGAGAAGAATAAAATAACTGCTACAGAACAGACAACTGCTCCAACAATTCTTCGCTGCCCAACTCCCTTGTTCTGCTGTAACCCTGCCCATTTACGAGAACCACAATTGCAGCAGACCAAGAACCCACAATGGTACAAATCAAATACCTATGTAATGCTACGGAAAAAATATTCCCAAAAGAATTATACCTAGTCCTCCCCCTGGGAAGGTCTTGGGAGACTCTCCGCTTCAATGTCATACTTCAGAATCCTAAAGCATTCAAGTCTTTTTTCCAAAAATAATGCATATGTACGCACCCAAGCAGAGCAATCCCATGCTATAGATCATATACAAAAAAGCGGCAGGGATGAATACGCAAACAAATCAGAAGTTAGTACTCGTGACAAAAAGACGTGTAGAGAAGATGGAGACATATGCATGAACCAATAGGCAAAAAGTAGAGAGAGATTAAAGGGCTCACCGATAGGGCTAGAATCATCCTTGAAATTAGAAAGTTGAAGAATGCGTGCTCTTTGCGAGAAGTTTAAAAGTTATTCTCTGAAAGTAGGATCACCCTCCCTCAGAGCTCTATGGATAACTATAAGAGTTTTCAATGCAACCTATAAAACAAAGGATGAGGAAAAATTACAATACAAGTTAATTTACCTATATCAAAACAATAGCTAGATGCTGACATATCGTAAAACATCAGTACAGCGTAATTTGTTAAGTCATTAAAGATAATTATGATGCATTCAAAGACTTTAGCAATCAAAGAATCAAAATCATGAATAAACCATCTTTCAGGGTAAATCTCATGACCAAGAAGATGAATTAATCATCCACCAAAATATAAAGATTCACTGATCATGTCAAAGCTGAAAATGAAAATATTACATAAAAACCTTAAAATGTACTTGTAGTCAATATCATTTCAGTGCGTCTAGAAACACTGGTGCAACTAGAAACTAGTCCACACAACCACCCAAAATGCATACATAATTAGAATAACAAAGATCAGAAAAAGGGAAAACGTATGAATGTAAGATACTGAAATGAACTCTCATCATAGTATACATTTTTAATGTTGCAGTCTTCCATAATTATTACAGCAAAACATATGGCATGATGCACAGTTGTACCGGGTATAATTGATGGTAAAAAATTCTAATACATAAACATGCCAGTTCACAAAGCAATAAAAAAAAAACAAATAACTTAACTCTGGAAACATTAGTGTTGAATCTACATTAAAATAGCAATTGGAAACCCCAACTTCATTTCAAAGCAGAGGCGTCATCATCCAGATGAACATTGATTTCATATCAATCTCAAAGGCAAGAAGTCCTAATATTCCTTATCATAATTACAACAAGGGTAAAGTATAATAATGGTCACTGAACTTTTTTAAAGCTTTCATTTAGGTCCCCCAACTTTTAAAACTTGCAATACAGTACCCCAACATTTAGTGCGTTTGCAAAATGGTCCCCCAACATTTAGTCTATTTGCAATATGGTCCCGACCGTTTGACGCCGTTACACTGCTGTTAGTACGTTTGCAATATGGTCACTAAACTTTTCAGTTACTTGCATTTAGGTCCCCCAACTTTTAATACTTGCAACACAGTCCTAAATTTCATTCTAAACCCCAAATTCCTTTCGATCTCGAATTTCCTTTTTCGCTTCTCTCTTCTCATTTCCAGTGTAACTTTTCAGTCGGGGATGCATGAGAAATTCTAATCTAACTTTGAATTATGTGGAGGTGTTGACTTGAATAAGAATCCATTGAGAGAAGACCCGACCAAGGGACTATCGGGACCATAAACGATTCAAAGTGTAATGTTAGATACAGGTCATCTCAGGTGAAGCATAGATGTTCGATGAAATGCTTGTGAGAAAAAAAATGGGGTTAGAAATACAGAGTTGACAAATACTATTAAGATGAAGAAAGTATCATTGTTGAAAGTCACTAACAAAACTGTAATTATTTTGTATAAATGACATAATATTTTCTTCGTTTAAACCTTGTGCTTAAAGATTTTCCAACAGATGATCAAATATAATGAAATCTCAAACAACACATTCACCTCTCAGTCTCTTTTGCAACTTGAAAGGCATCATTACGAGGTCAAGTAGTTGCTCCAAATATACTACGATGTAATGATGTCTTTCGAGTTGCGTACATACAGAATTGTATTCTAAAACTATAATTCAGTACAAGTAAACTGTAAAATTTCCAAAACATGTAAAAAAAATTAATTCGTTCATGACATATCAGTCCCATAATCAACATGAACTTATTAAAAAGAATACGAGCTCACAAGACGCCGAAAACAATAGGTTGGATCAATACAATTCCCAGTAAACTAGTACCAGCAGTCTCTCGGATTGAGCCTGGCAATTTCACTATGTCAATACTCACAACCAATTCCCTGATTTAAAGAAAAACCAAACAAGAAGATTAAAAAAATTTAGCCTAGGACCTTATTTCAATTCTATTATGAAGGACTGAATATCTTTCATAAGGAGTACTAAAAGTTTTGATTAAGAAGAAAGAAAGAAAATTATATGGTTTTGGTTCAAAACTAACGTTGAATATCCAGATCATTGACATGTAGTTCCAGAAACATAAAAATTTCAACAAAACACACACAATGCGAGCTGAAAATTGGAAAGTGCGAAAGAGGAAAAACTTACTTCCAGATAGCCTAAAAGAGAAAATAAATGCATTCTTGCAAGTGAGGGGAGAGACTAAGAAATAAACACAATCGGTGTTGCGTTCAAGCAATTCTTCCTCCATTTTTTCTTTGAAAATAAAAAGCTGAAAGACAGAGCACTGCTTGGGTTTACAATTTTACATGACGGAAAATTGA